TAGGTACACATCCTAGTCCTGTTTCTCAGAGTCTGCACACTCTCATTCTTAGCCAGCTAGGCCGGTCAAGAAAGTTTGGGGCCCTTACATTGGCAGAGTCAATGGCTCTGTCTGTCCTTGGGATGTTGGGGAACTCAGAGTGTAAGGAAGTCAGCTAAGTTGAGGTAAAGACACCAAGGAGCCAAAATGCCAAGTGAGGCTCCCTGTCAGAGCAGAGGGTTTTCCATGTAGGGCTGGGGCTCTGGGAAATCCTCCACTGTGGTCAGATACGTGAACACCAGTGTCTGGCTGGCCATCCCAGCGTGATTTCTTTTAATCACTACGTTTTTGCCCTATGGCTTTAGATGTCATCAGACTGATGTTTCAATGTGTCGAAAGTGACCCTCAGTGTCCTTTTAAATACCATACTGCTCAGCACAGACAATGCCAAGAAAAAAAGTGCTGTGAATACAATAAAATTAGGGCAAATGTAAAAGAGTATGAGTGTGTATAAGTGGGGCAGGGGGAAACTGATGAAAGAAGAGACAGTACAAAGAATTCCTTTAAATTCTTCCTAACTTTTACAGGTAAGATTGAACACACATAGAAGACGGGAAACAACTTGAGAAATTATAGAAGAAAGTTACATTTGAAAAGTTCACTCTTATGATAAAAATCAACTCAAAATATACGAAAAATTTGGGAAGTTACCTAGTGCCCCTTTCCCAATTACACTGCAATCGAAACTACCTAAAGAAGGGATAAACACGTCATTTGTTTTTCTTGCAGCTGGAGCTCTTAAGTTCTCAGGAATGAAGGGTGACAAACTGGGAGCTTCTGTCCAAATTCTGCATCAGCTTGACTCCCCTTCTTTCCTCCTGGATCAGCTTGACTCTCGTCCTTTCCCTGGGCTACCTGAGATAAGTAGCTTTCTTCTGTTTCTCCAGGGAAGAATGATGGCAATCCTCCTTTCCAGTTAATTCTTCCCAAGCTTGTTGGAAAGAGCCATTAGTTTATGTTTTATTCTTTATGCCTGTAAGATCTTGGGATGAAATACTCTCGAAAAACCACAAAGCCTATTACTATTTTAAGTACCTGCATCTTCCAGGAGAAGGAACACGCTGGCTCCCTGCAGGAGAAATAAATGGAGTCGGCTTTCTGGCTGGCACACTGTCTTTAGGAAAAAATATAAAAAAGACACAGATCATCTGTTCTGTCTGCTGCAGAAAATGTGTCCAGATCTAGTAAAGCAGAGCACAAATTTCAGAGGAGTTACTGCTTCCACACTCTGTGCTACACAAATTGGTTTTTTTATTTTTAATTTTGTTTTGTTTTTGTCCAAAACAACAAGCTCTGAATGCAAAAAGGAGAGGATACCAGGGTGTTGGTAAAATGCATTTTCTGGGATGTGTGGGAAGAAACATGTTCTTTCTCTTATTTTCATGTCTTGTTTCATGGCTGTGAAGGAAAGAAAACGACTTTGGCTACCCGCATTTCAAATCATATGTGCACTTCGAGGAAGCACCTGGCACTCGTGAACAAAACAGCATGCAGAAATATTTTGCTCTATTTTCCCATTGTAATCTCTCTTTGAGATTTCTTTTTTTGTCCCTCCCTTTGTATTCTTGTCAAGATTGACAAGCATCCATGTGTTACCAAGTGACACGAAGTTCTTGCTTGAATAATCATGACTAAAATCCAGGATATTTCAAAGCATGTTATTGACTCAGAGAGCCACCCACTAGATTGAATTCTTCTGAATTAACAGTGACTGACAGCAGCAGTGAGGTAGTGCTTTTACCCCAAATGGTCAGGTTCTCCCATGTCCCTACCCTAGATCTGGTGCTGGCACCTTCGTCCCAGGGCCGTTATAACACTGGTTGTGTATCTAGAAAAGTTTCATTAAGGTTACAGAAAAACTCATGTTTAGGAATTAAACTCTGAATCAAAAAAGCAGATGGCAAGAACTGAAAGTCCTTTTTTTTTGGAAGAAGGTGGCACTGTCATGTTGACCTTCCTCCAGTGTGGAAACATTAATGCCATCGCTAGGAGAGAGATGGCAGAACTCACGGGACACTCAGAATAGAGCAGGGGGTCATTTTTGATGAAAAGCAGTGAAATCATGTTTTATTCCTAGCATGTACAGAAGCTTTTGGGAAGAGAGCATGACGATCTCTGGTGGAAACTGTTGAAAAGGTCATTATGTCGTCATATGCTGAACATGAAGCCTTTAGTCCCTTTTCTTCTCCCCATTTCTAAGGGGTGGCCCAGAAATTCTACGTAGAAGGGCTTAGAAACTGCATTCTGTTTGGAAAGGAGGAGGGTGCTAGGGGACTTACTTGGAAGCAGCATTCACACAGCAAGCCCACGTTTTTAATTACTAATTTTTTTTTTTTGCAAAATGTGGGTTGACTAATCACCCCTCCTCTAAACCAAATGAACCTTTGGTGATACAATTCCCTGCCTTTCAAAAAATCTTATGCATTCTTTTATAATTTTTATATATAAAATATAAATTATATATTTTATATAAATTAAATTATTTATATAATTTATGTATTTTTTAAAAGATATATATTTGCACATAATTGATGCAAATTTACTGATCACAGGATCCAGCAGTTACAACTCCATTTTTAAAATAGGCACACATACATTTTTAACCACTGAATAATTTGATTAATATAGTGAATCGTATCTAACTAAAAACTGACAGAGAATATTTGCTTGATTAGTTATTTATAATAATTTTCAGAAGTACTTCTTTTCCAAAAGGATTGTGCAAAAATCATGCTTTTCATAGCATTTTGCCAATGTTCTCCTGAAGGATGGTTGCTAGCAGCAGAATGTGAAACTAAGCTTTGCAAACAATCTCTAAGAAACCGTTTTGTAAAGTTTCTAAGAAACTGTTAGAATGATCGATGAGAAAATCATCAGAATTATGGTGAACTTTTTTATGACACCTAAGTTATATACATTCCTGCGGTTGCTAGCAGCAGAATGTGAAACTAAGCTTTGCAAACAATCTCTAAGAAACCGTTTTGTAAAGTTTCTAAGAAACTGTTAGAATGATCAATGAGAAAATCATCAGAATTATGGTGAACTTTTTTATGACACCTAAGTTATATACATTCCTGTAAGATATTCAAATACGTGTTTTATTCACCAAGTGCATGGAAATCTAGGCTCCAAAATTTTCCCTATAGAACAACAGCTTAGATGACTCAAGCATTCCGAATGCTTTGCTACCAAATTCAGAGTGGTTCATGCAGCGCTGCTCACTGTCCTATCTCTGGCGCAGCCAGAGTGTGCCGCACCATCTACTGAGAACTGCTCTCCTCATCAGGGACTCACAGTCATTTTCAACATATCTTAGCCCCCAATTTTGCATATTCCTCACTTTATCCCATTTCCTTAATCTGCGTGCGCGTGTATTTGTGTGTGTGTAGACTTCACCGCGATAGACACAGTCTCAGCCTTAGGAGCAGCTATCTGATTATTCTATAAAGCAGAATCTGAAATTGTCATCTTTTCACTTCCCCTATCTCCTTATGGGAAGAAATGGTGATTTCTCTGGACCAATATCCTCATAATTTGCTTCAGTGACGCTCAGATGTGTCTCGCGTTTTCTTATTTTTGCAGTCACCTTTCTAGCTACTATGAAAATTTATACATTTTACTACTCTTTCTTAAAGCCTACAATGTTTTAAAACTCCCCAAGTTTTCTACTTTGTAAGAAGCTCCTAAACCTGTTTTGACTATTTTTAAAGGTGATTTCCTTTAACTCAATCTTCCTAATCTTAAAATCCCGAACTTTTTCCACTCACTTTTATTATTAGAAAAGTAATTATCTCCCCTATTATTAAACATAATATAAATGTGTGAATTTTGGTTTTCTCTATAAAGCATTTCTATACTATGCTTACACATAATGTCTGTCTTATGTTGTAAACTTTGAAAGCACAGATTGTAAACACTAACTTTATTTTGCACAGCACTAAGCACAATGTCATGATCACTTAAATGTTTTTGATGATGATGGTGAAGATGACAATGATAATGTAATGCTGTTCTGGTTTGAAAATGTCACATAGGTAGTCCAGTGCACCTTTTAAAAAAAAAAATGTAAGTTGTCCCTCATTCTATAAAACTGTCATTCTTCATTAGAAGAAAAGGTCACATTAAGTTATAATTAGTGTTTAGTGCCCTGTCAAATAATTAAGTATAATAAAAAGCTTTCAATGAGTTTAATGTTAACATGGTGTAATTAAAGCCATGTCCTGAGAAATGCATTAGGTGTCTATTATGTCAGATATTTGACGCTTTTTCCCTCTACTGATATTTTCAAATTGTGCTTATAGCAATGTCTTCATCAAAGACAAAAACACACTCATCACTCAGATGCAAAATGGGCTTTGCAGTGCCAAGGAAGGGCAGAATTCAGAAAACTGAACAAATCACTTATTTACTCATTTACCCTATTACTTACAGATAAGAAAACTGGGTTCTAAAGATATTGTGTGACTTGCCCAAGGTCACAAAGTGGTAAATTTATTCTTTCTTGATAATAAGAATTGAGGTTTGAGCCTTACTGAAGTGACTATTATTATTAGTGTTAATATTTCTTTCTGAAGTGTAAGATATTTGCTGGGAAAATTCCTATTTGGTCTTTTTATTGATTGGGTGAAAAAAATACGTGCAGAGTGAAAGAATATAATTGTGTTTAGCTCCTCTTGTATTTAACAGTCATTTTAGGATGCAGGGCTTGCCATAGTGCCTATTTTAAGGCTCAAATACAGAGACGAAGCTGAAATCTCACCATTCTCTCATCAGAATAATTGGAATGCGCCTAGATACTTGGCCATTTCTCACTCTGCATTCTTTGAGCTTCCCAGGCCTTCACTTGTGCATGTCGTATTATCTTTTCTGTCCACAAAGATTTTGAAAAATCAGCAGAGTACAAGTAGCCCCTGAAATAAAGGCGTCATTCAAGGAACAAAGAAGTAGAAGGAGGGATCCAATTAAAATGATGAAAATCTTTAATTTTTATTTAGGTATACTTGTACGGACACGTGTATATACAAATACAGATCGTATGGGTTTGTTTGTGTGTGGGGTTCTTTTTTTTTTACATTTTCTTTTACGTTTATATTATGTCAGCATTTCAAAACAGCACTCGATGAGTAAGTGCAAGGGGACTGCAAAGCAGGGCAGTACAAGCACAGGACCACACGGAGCTGGACTTCACACCCAGACGCACACACAATGAGTGGCTTGAATGGGGTGTCAAGAGTAAGCATGGAAAGCGGATTTTGACTCATGGGTAACCTCCAACATGCCAGCATCTATTAAACTGTAGGAACAATGGGAGCGAGCCCATTGTAGGGAGATTTGTCTCACACCCGAGCAGCTCTGGGGCAAAGGCATGGGAAAAACTCAGTGATGCCAAACCAGAGACAGACCTGCCCATTCACGGCTCTGAGGGAAAATAAAACAAGGGAGGAAAGCGAGAGACAAAATAATAAACATGAAAAGTAAAGGGGTGTAGGCAAACGGGGTGTTGGTAGAGGTGGTTTTCAGAAGAAAAGCTAGTGACCACAACTCTGAGAACAATGAATGGAAGGGGAGTTCAAAACCGTTTTTCTCATATTTTTTTTTTTTGAAATTAATAGAAAGGGCTGCTGCCGTTGCTAAGGCACCGGAGAAAAACAGAGTCCCTGAAAACCCACAGGTACCGTGTGACTCTTCCTTTCACAACGACACAGAGAGAGAGAGACAGCCCCCACATAACTTCCCTAAACAGACTGGTTTGCAACCATTCCCATGCGTGAGCTGAACACGATACTGAGAAGACTCTTCCTGGGGGGAAATGAAACAGTTCATGAAAACAACCACTAACAGAAAACCAAACCAAACCAAACCTTACTACAGAACCATTACTAAATTCCCTAAACCTTTTCAAACCAACATGCTGGCCGTGGGGCGGAAGGGACGACTCCAGGGCTCCAACATCAGACCTTGAAAACATTGAGGACAAAATATTGATCAAAAAAGTCATGTTGTCCCAGGTCCCAAGATGATGGAGTCTTAAGATAGAGTGGGTGGTGACCACACATGAGTCCTGTATGGAGCAGTGTCTCAGCCATTTGTGACTATTTTCTTAGCCACGTACACACCGGATGTTTCAAAGCCTCAATGCATGTTTTGTATCCTGAAGATCTATTGTTCTCACTTACAAAAGACATAAGAATCAAATTAATACTTTATTATCAAACACTATATACAACAGAGGTTGCTAATAATACAGAATTTAAAGAACGCATTTTTTTTGTTTTTTAATTTTTTACTTTTCTTTCCTCTGCCACCCAAGAAAGTACAGTACAAAACAAGAATCTAAACTAACACAACTGTTACCTGGTCTATTAAAGGATACACGGTATCCACTAAACAGACAGATCCTTATTTCCCTGCTTCATGTTGCAAAGCCCTTGGCAACCAGGGGCAAAGGTCGCTGGGGTTTGACTAACTGGGGTGAGGGGCGGCTGTGGCTGCCCTTCAGACTTGTGAATTGTTTTTTAAATTAAAAGCTGCTACAAAGTTGCATCGACATCCTCCTAATCCCCCAGAGGATTATAACACCACCACAAAAGGCCACCAGCACTTTTTGGACAAGATGAAAACTGTCTGACACTAATCATGTTCTTGAGAACTCCATGGCAAGTGCGTTAGCTATGATTACGTCACTTATAGTAGAGAAGCAACTGTCTACTGGCGTGGAAAGTCTATTTTTTGTTTTTAAACTTAATTTGTAGTGGCACAATGGTGAAGTAAAGGGGTCTAATTTCATAGTGGAAAAATGAAAGACAATGGCAGAGAGGGCCATGAGTAATAATTTCATTATTTGTTAGAGACAAATGCTAGAAAAACCACAGAAGTCACCATTTCTAAAATTAAATTAGCACTGCTAATGTAATTATGACTAACTGGAACCATTTCAACATCATCTGATTTCCTTGTGGTTATAGAACATGCAGTGTATTGTTTTGGTTCTGACTATCGATCCATTTTAGAAGGTATCTTTTTCCCCCTACCTAAATTCCACGGGACCAACAAGCCTGTAACTATTAATATAAAGAAGTATTTCTGGATATTATTGAGAGTACTGAGCATATAAATAAAGAAAAAAGGAATCAAATGCTGTGAACTTTTGTTTCAATGAAATGGTGGCTGCCTTCTGTGATAAAACCCTGCCTCTCCAGAGAAGTTCCCAATGTCAGAGAGGAAGAGCACTGATTGTATCTGTGAGGCTGGCAACCCCATTCACTCGGTCCCAGGTGAGCACAGACTCAGCAGTGATATCCACTCCCATGGGTAAGGTAAGCCCAGGTTACATTTCAACATGTGTACAACTCCCCAGGGCACAGTACATTTACAGCTGCCTTTCATTCACATATTTTTCTAAATCAGAACTACTCACAATTCTAAGCAAATTCCCATTCATGAAGTCTATCTATAATATGACTCCCCCCCCCTTTTTTAACATATACATCTTAAAAAACAAATATATAAAAAAATCCTTCTTTTGCTGGAATGCTTTCAAATTTTCACATTTTACATGATTATCCCATTTTATTTTTTATTTTATTTTGAAAGGCATGGTTTCTATTGACATGTTGTGCAATAGCTAAAAAAAAAGGCTAAATATTTTTCCCATTGGTCTGACACTTTTCCCTGTCTAGGCTTTGGAGTTTAAAGTTTGAGACAGCCCCTCCAGTAGAAACCCCAAGTCTTGCATTTTCTGGTAATCAACTGGATAGTCCCCTGTTGGCCATGCTAAGATTCCTTAAACAGGGCCATCGTGCACTTATCCTCCTCCTGCCCCACCCCCACAACAAAACAAGATAGCCCCCCCATATTTCTAAATGTATCAAGGGATACCACTTTTTCTCACAAGTTTAAATAGGACAAGCATATATACTCACTCTCAGCATAAAGTATATCTAAATAATGTATTTTCTATTCTAGTGGATTTTTAAAAAAATATTTTGTTAAAGTCTTTGGGACTCCATCTTGTTTATCTCCCACAGATAAACACATGTTCCCCCTACGCTTTAGGCTGTGTCAGAAAGGGAAAGAATATAAAATCAACACTTGAATTTTTTTATTCCAAACTTTGGAATTTTATTTCCAAATTTCCCTTTAGCCCTCCCAAGAAGTACTGGCTGACTCTCTTGGTGACAGGGACTTAGGTCCGAGCCCCTGTGGTCGTGGAGGGTGGAGCAAAATGTGGGTACTAGGGTGGGAGTTGGGGAAAGGCCACAGCACACTGGTGCTCCAGCACAGCCAAGTCACTTCTCCTCTGGCCACCGACAACCTTTCCTTGGTACATATCGTCCCCCAGAGGAGCATCCAAAGCTATTCCACTATGCACTCATCAACCCTGGCTTGTCAGCCTTGGGGAAGGTCACTTTATTCATAAAAATGCCTCTTTGAGTTTCTAAAAAGAAAAAAAAAGTTGTAGCACCATGGTGATCTGTATTCAAAGAAAAAGAAAAAATCTGCTGTGCACTGCCCAGTCACCAAAAAAATTAGAGGCATTCACACATACACACCCCCACCAAACATATAGTTCTGCACCCAACTGCCTCCTAGAAAAAAAGGCTTCTTTTTAAAGAGCATGAGTTTTGCTGTCAAGAATGCTTTAAGACAGTCATATTAAGAAAACCCAGTGTCTCAACCTTTTAGAAGCCTGTTCATTTATACACTCCTAGAGGAAATGGTGTAATATTATATCTATTCTCAATACCTCCCCTCTGGACCTGACATGGTGACATGATGCCCTGCACGATCATCTTACAGTCCTGAATGAGAAGGCATAAATATTGTATAGGAGAGGAAAGCCCTCCCGGGCCCAGCCATCCCTGGCTGCATCTGCCACTATTCTTCCTTGTCCACATCCCGCTGACACAGTGAGCTAACGGAGGTGAGCTCTTAGAGGAGAATGCACAGGAGCTGACGAACCACTGGTGTCACTACGACAATTTGGCATTTTCATCTGGAGTCCATTTAATTTGGAAGGGGTGAGAGAAGTCAGGGGCAAGGGCATGGGGTAGGGTGGGGTGAGGGAGGCAGCAACTAGTTTAGCCCCCCACGGCCCCAAGTTGTTGCTTAGAATTCAGGCTGAAAGAAAGAAAACAAAAATCTGACATCTGCCAAAAACCAATAACAAGTCCCTTCTTAGGATGAGCAGTTAGGTGGATCTCTGGTGTTCCAAGACCCTGATGTCTTCTGTGATGGGTGACGGGAGGAGACTGTGCTATAATGTCAAAAGCATCGCCAGGAGGAACAGTAGGATTGCCAAAAGGCGGCTGGGTATCCTTGGTGTCTGTGCCGCGTTCTCGCCGCGGGATGGCTCGGCTGACTCATGTACGGTGTCATCTGTTCAAATAGAAAGCACACATTCCAATGAGATTTCACATCCTTAATAACTCTCTTGCAGCAGCCTGCTGTTAACAGACCTCGCCACCCTCTGCAAAATAGGGTAATGAACCTTGTGCCACCATTGACTTTCATGTCTGCATAATCACTCATTATTTACAGCAAACAAAGGAGAGGCAGAGAAAATTGGACTTTCTCAGCAATATGACTACTTTCCTTAAAAACTGAGAGGAAAAACTGTACATACACTGTAACCTTTGGCACGTGAGCTCCCTTGGTTTGTTAGCAGTTAGACACCTTGCACAAACTTAAGTCATCTGAAAATGTACTTTTAAACCTAAGATGCCATGGAGAGGCAAGTGACATTGGGGGGTGGAGGGAAGAGGCGGTTATGTTGGCATATTAGTGGCTAACCAGGATGGGCTGCTCATTTTCCTCTTTTTAGCCATTTCATAGGGTTACTGTTGAATGCCTGGTTGTTGAATGTCTAGATGAATTTTCATATAAGAAAAACTAAGTGCCAAAAAAGAGCATTTTAAATAAACTCTACATAATGCCCAGTAAACTTCAAAAAACCGGTGCCCACTGGTTTGACTACAATTAGGAATCAATTATGGTGCTATTTCCATTACAATCCTTGTATTTCCAGGATTAAATTACTTGAACCTGACTATTTTTATTTTTATTGGGCTGAAGCTCCGCATAAATTATCAGCGTGGATGCAAACTTTCCTCTAAATAAAATGGATTAAGTGAGTTAAGCTTCTTTTATTTAGCTATAAATTGTTCTAGGAGGCTGCCCGTGACTTTGGATAGCCTTCCCTGATCTGCATGATTAACAGGCTTAACTTTGAAACGAGAACTTTGCAGCAATTAGTACCCAAAGATAGATCGCGGAGACTTGCCTATGGGCTCTGCTCTGCTCTAGTGCTGCCTGCCTTCTTCCTTCCACCTGGCTAACTTGTGCTTTCAGACTAAGTGATCTCTGAACGACGTGTTCTGGGGGTCAACAGTGGGCATCTGCAGATTCTACTTCAGCACCAAGGGAACTTCCTGTAGCAGCTCCACAATTGCCACCAGGGACACACTCAATGGTCAATCAGGCAGAAGGGTAACAAGTAAGACTCGAGTGATTGCTTTCAATTATGTTGATCTCATAGGGTAGTCCCTGAATACCCTGAATCTCCCACCTCAATCTCCTTAATGGATTAACTATCCATTATTTTAAACTCATTTATATTTTCCTACCACACAACATGTCACCACGAGGACGTTTTTTCTTCACAGGGCAGAGTCACACTCTCTATTATTTGTCCTAAAGTGACCACTTCTCAGGCTCACAGGCTGGCCCCTGCTCATTTGGGATGTTTCTGTTCATCACGTTCATTCCCAATATAATCTAAGAAATACGTCCTCTCGGTGTCCTCTGCCCTGAAGTGGTCTTATCATTTTCGCCTGTCCTCATGAAGAAGCCGCTGCAGCCCTTTGCTAAATTTGCACCCCTTTCCTGGACCTTAGCAAACCTGCATGGAATGGTTTTAGCTTAGGAGAATAGAAAAGGTTAGGATGTGAGAATGGAAGATAAATGGATGCAGAGGAAAATATCAGGTCCTGAGCAATGTAGCCAAATACTTGCAGACCGTCATCTTTGCTCTTTTTTAGCCTTGAAAATGTAAATCTGTAGTTAACAGAAAGGAGAAGTAAAGGCTCTTAATAGCCCCGAAATTAAAATCCAAATCACTTTCTTAAGAGCACAAATATGTTGTCAATCAAAGCAATGACGCACTTTAGGCTCAATTGTGAAAGAGCCATAAGCCCTGAGGATTCCAGAGTTAATTTTGAAACATCACTTATATTTACATACCTGCAATTACATTAGCTATTGGGTTCTTCTCTGCCTTATTTTTACTAACATATTACCCCATCCTTCACCTTGTATAGTTTGAAAGTGTACGACTAAAAGTCACCTGGGTAGCACCTGCATACTCAGTGCGAGTATGAAGGGGACCTTCACCACCCCAGTCCCTTCCAGGTGCTTAGTGGCGGCTATCCATCACTCCAGGCCCACTCAGCACAAGACACGGTGAATTAACCTCATGGGATAATTGAGAGGAAGGTTTTTGTTTTTCATGTAAGTGAAGCATGAGGCTAAATGTGCCTTTCAGTCCTCTAATCATAGACAATCTGGGGTATTAGCCCTTTTATGAGCAACTAATGAATATATACTGTCTTGCCCCCAAAGGGGAAAACCTGTCCCATCAGGACATCACCATTGTCCTCTCCTTCCTGTGACACGCTGTTTCTCACTAAGGATTCTACATCCTTTGATTAAAACAGGGCCTCAGTGTTGGGAGATTCTATGGCCCCTGAAAATGAAATGAGAAACTGGATGTCATTTGGGTAAATCTGAGCAATTTCAGCACTCTAAGGAGGAATTCATAAGCAAAATCTAGTCCAATGGAAATTATACCTAAATATGAGAGAATTTCTAACACATGTAACAGTGAACATGGCTTGGAAGAAGAAAATGTTCTTCTTCAGAAGCCAAATCAAGTCTTGCCTCCTGGCTACAGGATGTCACAACGTGGGAGCTTCAATGGTTAACTGAGAGAACACTAGCAATATTTTGGAGCATGTTATGTGGCATATGTCTGCCCTGAGATCATCCTGCATCCCTGATGATAGGAAACTGGCAGGCAGAGTGTGCAAGCAAACAAAGAAGACAAATACATTCCAAAGACAGGTGAATTAGTACACTTTGCTGAGAACATGCAGAGGAATCCTCTCAGGCTTGCTGGGTTCATAAAGTCTGTGTCTACACCCAGGGCTGGGTAAAGGTGAATATTCATTCACCCGACTGTTCAACACAGTGGTGAGGAGCTGCGAGTCTGATGGAATTTTCTAAGGAATAAGATGAAGTACTCAAATCTGTTATTGTATTCATACTGCCAGGGATTGTGGTTCAACTGTGTCTCACTTTTTTAGTGAAGATGTCACCAACAAGCCCTTGAATATAGCCATGACTGACTCAAGAAGCTTTTCCTGCATGATGCCGATGCGCCACCCCCAACGCACAGGAGCACACACCTAACTATGTTCTGTCAGACTTTTGCAAACTTACGTCAGTTATACATCCACAGATTTGGGGCTAACATGAATTTTAAATGCTCAGTGAAAAAGAGCTTGTTTCCCAAAAGACTGTGAAATATGCTCGTGTATGAAAGCATTTAAATATCTTGCATTTTATCATTAGCTGATTTCAATGGTAATGTTCCTACTGGTGAAACAGTCCTCAGTGTGCCTCTTCATTACCAGAGAAAAACACACAATCTGTTAGGTTTCTAAACAGCCTTTTACTCTCTAGACAGGCAGTGGAGTTTACCTGGAAAAAAGATCATGGGAAAGATATGCCTACATTCTCCACAACATGTATCAAAAAATCATAGTTCTGGGTAACTTTTGTCTATAACATGCCCAACTCTGCCAGTCATTCCAATCATAATCAATTAACAAAGTCATGAGAATGAAGTCCTCTTTATGAACATCTATACTTCTGGGAATGGTAAAAGAATACTACTTTTATACTAACGTTAGAATGGGAGTCAAGAAATCTGAATATTAAACCTAGGTCTATCTAACTAGCTGTGTGGCTTGGGCAAGTCTCCTCACTCACACAAAGAGGAGTGTAGACCCTGTGGTCTTTAAAAGAAATCCCATCTAACTTGCAGATCCTATGGTGGTCCAAGTCCTAGAGCTTGCGAGAAGTCTGGTATCTTGAAAAGTCACAGTAATGCTTCCAGATTTCCAGGACACAATTACAGTGTCATCGAATCAGCACTCATTCCTGGCTACATTCTAACATGGCTAACTGATCCCTGGGGAGCCACTAAGGTCTCTGAGAGCTCACTATACACCCTCTCATTTGTGCTCTAGGTAAGACGCCTGCCTTAGAAAAACAGGAATTCTTGGGGAAAAACCCTAACTCTTTCTGTCAATCACAATGTGAAAGCTATTGTATGTCTGGAAGCACCGCATTTACTCAGGGCAGGTTTCCCTGAGGCTCATTGACTGTTGTCCCAGTGGCAGTACTCAGAGGATAAAGAAGACCGGCTACATTCTAACATGGCTAAGTGATCCCTGGGGAGCCACTAAGGTCTCTGAGAGCTCACCATACACCCTCTCATTTGTGCTCTAGGTAAGACGCCTGCCTTAGAAAAACAGGAATTCTTGGGGAAAAACCCTAACTCTTCCTGTCAATCACAATGTGAAAGCTATTGTATGTCTGGAAGCACCACATTTACTCAGGGTAGGTTTCCCTGAGGCTCATTGACTGTTGTCCCAGTGGCAGTACTCAGAGGATAAAGAAGACCTGAAATGGGCCGGCCCGGTGGCGCACTGCTACAGTGCGCCGCTTGGGAGTGCGGAGGCGCTCCCGCCGAGGGTTCGGATCCCAC